CTCCCTACCCTGAGCCGCAGACCCGTCGCCTTCGGCCGAGTACGAACTTCCCGCCGCTTTCGCCGACTCGCAACTCAGAGGCGCCGCCAGCCCCTGCACACTCTGCAGTATGGAGCCTTCCCATTGGCTCCGGGCGACGGAGGAGGCGGGGCATGGAAACACGGCAGGGCCCGGGCCGTGCTTCCCAGCCGCCGGCCCAGGCATGCTGGGAGCTGAGGTCCGCGCGCGCGCTGCATGCTGGGAATTGGAGTCTTTCAGCGGCAAAGCGGGTCCTACAGCCCCTCTGGCCTGAGGGCTTCTGGGAATTATGGTTTACAAGCTTCTGACCCCCCACTGAATCCTTCAGTGCCCTAAGAACCGGAAAATATTACCAGTGTTCAAAGGAGCTTGGTTTGTTAAGCGTGTTGACAAAGGACTGGTTATAAAACAAAAACTGTATTCCCACTGGCTGAGTGTCTCTCCTGCGTGCTCGAATTTGAATTTTTTCACCCTCTTGCCCACCACCCTGAAGGAGTTTCACACTGGCGTGAGTCAGTAGACCGGCCAGGCTCAGGAAGACCCACTCTGCATTTCAAATCCTAGCTCTACCAGTTGAGATTTTTAACCCAAGGGAAGTCATCTGATCTCTATTTGCCTCAGTTTGCTGTTTCTGTGAGGATTAAGTGAGATAACCTTATAGGCACTCCATAAATATAAGACAGTATCAGTACTGTTCTGCCCACCCGTTGCCAAGTGTCTAAATCCTACTTTTCAACACCGGTTTCGGCATCTACCTGATATTGCAGCTGTCATTCTCTTACACCTGTTTTCTTTGTTCCTATAATGATTTGTCTAAGTCCCCATCACCCACAAGTCTGTGAGCTTATTGTGGACTGAGAGATAGTTCTAGGTCCAAGTCACAAAGCCACAAGCAGAGAGAGATTACAAGGAGTCCAATGAAGCGTTAGCTTCAAGACTTGCACTGGTGCCTTCCAAAGCCCTGGGAAAAACTTAACTGTGTGTTTACATAACTTTTGGGGAGTTTTATGTGCCGAGGTAAGATATTTCTATATGATTTTCTTAAAGTGGATCCCCAAAATTGTGTAAGTATTGGTCCCCACAAAACCTGGAATCCTCTACCTGATGTCTGAAATTTACCACTTCAGGAACCCCGCCTGTCCTGATTCTTCCCTAGCCTCCCCTCTGCTGCAGTCAGCCGCCTCTGCAAACTATTTCAGTGCCTCTCTGCTTCCTGGTTCTTATAAGGTTTGCTGGGACACCAATGGGGAAGCCCACAGAGGAAAGAGAAAGGATGGTTAAGGCAGATGTTCCCCCTGGTTCCTTCCTGGAAAGGTCACTTCCAGTTAGATGGGTCTCCTGGCTGAAGGTCGCTTTCCCTGGTCTCCCTTCCAGGTCACAGTAAGAGCAGCTCCTCCCTTTGTGCTTCAGGTTAGGCGATAGCCCAGTGACTGCTGCAGAGCCTCAGCTTACTGCCCCATCCCACCCCCACCCAGTGGTCAACAGTATCACTGCAAGTAAACCCTGCTCAGATTATCCTATTCCAAATGCGGCCTCTGCTTTCTGTAGAGACCCCAGTGGCAACACATGCACAAGGTGAATACTCCAATATTTGTCAGCAAAGAGGTTCCAAGATTCGCATGTCTCATGATGTGCAATCGTCCAACAAGACTCTGTGGCCAGAATCTATTGAGTGAAAAACATTCACACACGCGCGTGAGCATGCACACACACGCACACATGCATGGGTGCTAAGATCTGGAATAGGATTTATCTGTTACAGTATGATCATGGTCCCCTAACCTCACCACAGACCTGCAGAAGAAAGGTCCCCACTTCCAGTCTGAGTGACAATTAGCTGACCTTAAAGCACAATTAAATCAGCACCCGTGCACGGAGTGTTCCAAGGTGAGAATAGAATGTATTGATTCTGTAATTCGGGGCTCTGGCACCCTCAGTCAGATGCCTTCCTGTTAAGCACCACTTTCATGCAGCTATGTTCCAAGGCAGTTGCCAACACCTCCAACACCACCCACACATGCTGAGATGTCCTACCCATGTGCAGCATGGCAGGACACCAGAGCAAGCTGCTGCCACAGAGACAGCAAGTCTGAAATGCTGGAGGTGGAAATACAAGTCTAGGGTACAGGAAACCCTTAGAACATTTTTATGAGTTGGTAATTTGCAAAATTAAGGTAGAAGGTTGACCAGTCAGGACTTGCTGCTGCTGGGTTTTTGAAATGAAAAATGGAACTAGGGAGCAGAGTATCATGAATATAACCCTACCATAGATTCAGACATGCAAGAACCTACACAGGCCAAACATGTGTATTTATGGTGAGTCAGGGATAAAGTGAACCTCCAGGGAGTCAGGTATAACTACTATTTAAGGCCTTATCAACTGTTAGGTACTGTGATGTTTCACATACACTGTCTTAGTAACTTTGCTCTCATTGCTGAGACAAAATACCCGATACCCAAAACTAAAGGGGGAAAGGTTTATTTAGCTCACAGTTTGTAGAGGTTTCAGTCCGTATACGGCTGGCTCTACTGCAGGGTGGCTTGGCAGAGTAGCATTGAAGAGGAGAAATTCAAAGCAAGTAGAAAGAAGACAGCAAAAATGAGCAAGCAAATGACCCTAACAGCATTTTTCTGCCCTTTTTATCTTATCCAGACTGCTTAGGGCAGATAGCACTCACACCCTTAATGCTAGCACCCAGCATTGCACCATGAATCAACCCCAGCATCCCACACTCTAGATCCAGCCACCTCTGAAAAAGCTCCATCTATGACTACACAGGGCTTTGGGAGCACACCTAGACACAAGCTGTAGTACATCATTCTCCCAATTTTTAGAAGGACAATAACATCTCAAAGAATTTAAATGGTTCCATGTGCCCTGTTTCTACTTCTTTCACTGTCTTTTTATACACACAGCCTTGGTAGATGGGGATGAGTCTTAGAAAGATTGTTTTAGCACAGTCCTAGAGACTTTATACAAAATGCAGCCAGGAATCCCGGCAACCAGGATCTTGGTTAAGGGGCCATCGTGGATAAAACAATGTGACTAGTAAAAGGGTTAAGCATTGTATATAAAAAAATTTCCAGCTGCTCAGCAGAGCAAGACTAACTAAAAGTCTCTCTTTCCAATCTGCGCTGATCTGCCACACAGGCAGGCATCTGTGGGAGTCCCTGTGACCCTGATCACCCCAGCCCAAAGCTGTGGGGATGTAAACACAGCCAAAGGTACTTTGGGAAAGAGGGAGGAGGGTGGTGCTGTCTCCCCCATGGCAGAAACTCAATCTGTGAAATACAAACAATCAACATGGTCATTAGGCAGCAAGGCACAGCTGCCCGGCAGGTGCTGGCTCCACCTACGAGTCAGTTGCAGCCCTGGTCCTCCTTGTTTCATCTGTAGAGTGGGTGTGAACATCTTGGCCAACTAACAATTTCTGAGAAGGGTTTTGATCTGTTTGGAAGGAAGCCACTGTGGTGTCCTTCCTAACTATAAGCAGCCCAAGGGAGTATCACCTCCTGGGAGGAAGGAAAGGAGAAAGGGAGGAGCAGAATGAGTTCTGGGGTGCCCTGCTCCGTACTCCCCCAGTTCCTTTACTTTGGGGCATCTACCATGTGCCAGGCACAGTGCCCTCAACACATGCATAATCTGGTGAAAGGGCCAAGCATCCACAAATTCTAGTAACTAACCTTACAAGGCAGGTTATGTGACCCCAATGTCCAAAGCAGCCAAGTCTCAGAACAGAGAAATTACCTGCTTAATGTTGATAATAACCAGGAGATCTGTCTGCTTAGAACTCAGCCTTATGTCCGCCACAGCTGCTGATGTTGGAAAATGTCAGGAGGTCAGAGCTAACTGGATATAAATGGATTTTGTGCAGCTTTGCAGTGTTCTAGCTAGTGCCTGCTGGTCTGGCCCTTCATGATTTTATAGGTGTTCAATTCCCTGTATTCAAGCCCTTTGTGCTTAAAACACCTAGAGTGGTTTCTGTGCCCTGTGCTAAACTTTGGCTGACACAGGCAGAAGGTGGCCTAGATAAATGCAATCTCTCATCGATACTAAGATGTAAGCCTTTCATATTTTAATCTGTCTGAAGTGAGGACACGTCACACAATCCATCCCTCCTGTACTAGGAGTGTACTTGTTGGTTCTTCAGCAGCAACACATAAAATGGTGGGACTTTGTGCCCTTGATGAAGATTTAGATTTGATGAAGCCTTAGGGTAACTTGGTGCTTGCTGCCTTAGAAATGCTCTCTGAGGCATCTCATTTCCTCATTGCACTTCCTGTACCATGCGCTCAAGGGGCCATCCCTGAATTCCCATGGCCCCGAACATCTCTTCCCTTCTCCTGCTTCACTTGTTTTGAAAGTGAAGACAAACATCCGTAGAGAAAGACGGACGCAGGATGGTGATGCAGGGTGACACAAATCTTGTAAATGAGAAAGGCCTGAAGCTGGAACTTCCCTCTGCCGTGTACTTGATCTCGTGTCAACCGTTAACCTTCCTGAGCTCTACTCTGCTTCTTTAAATGAGAGCAGCTGTCGGAATTCCTCGAGAGAGCATATGTGAAAATGTGAGCCCTTACAGGACTCCTGGTAAACACGGAGTCCTCCTCCTGCTCAGCACTCTCCTCTGAACATCTCCAGGCCTGCTTCGCACACCCCAGTCCCCCAAGTGGAGCTGCAGGCACTGTTGTCAGTGGCTAGACACAGGCTTGGGTCACATGTACATGCGTGTCCACGGCCCACTGCCAAGTTGCAAACTGGGAAGGGAAAGAGAGCTTTTGCAAAAACAAAAGCAAATCGTTGCTTGTGTTTTTGCAAACGTCCAACTCTTGTCATGTTTTGATTTCAGGGCTGCTCCAAGATTCTGGGACAAAAGGCACTATATATAAGCATTATTATGAGACTCAAAGGGGCTCTGAGCAAAACAAAAATCCTTTTATTACCAGAGAATTGGAGAGACTTGTTGCCAAATATAGTCACTTCATGGAAAATGCATTTTTATTTTTTCTACACATCATCACCAGCACCAGCACCATGTTCTAACTAAGCCCACACCCTACAAGTCATTGATTAGAAAATATTTTAAAATATATTTAAATAATGACATATCTTTGCAATTATCATGTGCAGTTATCATAGGTACTTTGCAGCTAGTACAGTTTCTCACTCCGTCTTGCTGGTGACTCTGGGATGTAAGGTAATTAATTAGTGGCCCATTTTACAAGTGAGGAAATGGAGTCTCAGAGATCTTGGGCAACTTTCTAGCAAGGAAAAGAGACAGGATCTGAACTCAGCTTTTCAGTACTGGTGATCGTGGTCTCCCT